TTTTTTTTTTTAACACAGTTTGCTTCAGAAGAAGGCATAGGACTCACAAATTTAGGAATAATAGGAAACAATAAATTATGTAAATTGTGACAGTTTTATCTTTTTATCATCCTATGGTATAGGAGGTAACTAGAATCTGGCCAAAGGTTTACATTATAGTAGTATGCTGGTAAATGTTAAAACAGCTGCTATCTAAAAACCATTTGCTGAGTTTTGTGATAAGTATTCTGCATCATGGCCAATTTTAAGCTACCAACATGATGTTATTGAATGAGAAGTTTGGGAGAGATATACACAGTTGCCTTTCCTGATTCAGAAGGAAATTATGATAGTTTTTAGTTTAATAGATTAAGATAAATGATGGGAGTGCCTTAATACTGTTTAGAGATTGAAGAGCTGTGAAAAGCAAGGTTGTGATGAAGAGTAGTAGAAAAGGCTGCTCCTGCTGACTAACTAGTAGGAAATGGTAGTCCTGTACCTTTGCTTTACTTCTTCAGTCCAGCTTTGCAGTTCTCTGACAGTGGGGTCTGTCGCCAGCAGAAAGTCTGTGTGTTATCATTTAGAATACACCTGTAGAATCCAAAGGAAGATAGAGATTCCAAATGAACTTATTAATTTTTTGTTTCTTTAGTTGCTATTTATTAATGTGCTTAAGAACTTGTAATTGTTACATTTGGCGACCCTCTGTTACAAGTTCTATTCCAGTGGTAATTTATTAGTTTCCTAAATAAAAGAAATTTAGCCAGATGTGGTAGTGTATGTTGGTAATCTTAGCACTTGGGAGGCGGACATGGGAGAATTGCAAATTTGTGACTAATCTGGGCTACATAATTATTTCCAGGCCTACTTGAACTACATAGTGAAACTTCAAATAAACAAAAACAAAAAACAAACAAAAAAGTTTAGAAGACTATTGGATACTAACAGAAGAGTTGTTGCTGGGTAACAAAGGCAAATATTTATTCAAGTTCAGAGTTACAGATAAATATACCAGTTTTTTTTTGTCAAGACAATGAATTGATATGAATTAGCAGTAAAATTAGTTAAGCTTTTGGCTGAATTGAATGTCTTGGAAAATTTTCTCTAATTTTAGTAATTAAAACAATTTTAAGACTAGTAGTATTAATTGAATACAAACTAATATAATACAATTTTTACAGAGTTTGGTAGTTGACTCTGTAGATAAAAATCAAACCAATAGAGTAACTTTTATTCAAATCAGAGGAGTCCTATAATGAAATAGTCCTATTTGGAGAGATACATGTAAATAAGTTTTTTCACTACTATAACACCTTTTGGTTTTTTGTTTTTTTTTTTAAACAAGTTTGTTGAAGGATCACAAATATCAGAGGTATGTTGATACAGCATTTAAAATCCAATTAGCCTAGTCTAATAATCACTTTAAATTAAAAAGATTACATAAAATATGTTATTCAGTGGAAAATATTATGATGAGGCAATCCAGATTTTAAAATTTATATTTTGTTTTTGAATTAAACTGGGCCTATTTGGCATTTCTTTTCCTGTAACATGTTTTTAACATGCTTTAGAACTACTTCATTGCCAAACTGTACATAGTAGATTTCCTACTGTTTTTACTAATAAAACTTTTATTGGAATGGAGCTACATTAATTCATTTAGGTATTGACTTTGTTTCTCATTACAGTTACATAGTTGAATTTGTGACAGACTACATGCCCTAAGCCTGAAATATGTGCTCTCTACAGAAGTTTGTGGACTGCTACCAGGCTTGCTGTTAGTTATTTTAATGTTGTGAAAATGAACAAATGTATAAACTCTTTATAAACATGTTTGATTATACTTGTCCGACTTTTACCTTTACCAAAATTTCACATGTCTATTTTGTTAATGTTGGCATTCTGTTTTAGGCAACCTATGCAAACCTAGAAAGGTCTAAATCTGAACTTGAGGATGAAATAGTTTTTCTAGAGAAGGAGCTAAAAGAAGAGAGATCTAAACATTCTGAACAAGATGAGTTGGTAAGCCTCTTATATTCAAAGAGAATTATGAAAAGCACTCACATAAAAGTAAAGTCATTATTTAAAAATTTATTTTGACTTATTTATTTTTATTTTATGTATATGAATGTTTCATATGCATGTATGTAAGTATACCTGTGTGTGCAGTGCTCATGGAGGCCAGGAGAGGGTGTTGGGTCCCCTGGAACTGGAGTTACAGAGAGTTGTTAGCTGCCATGTCAGTGCTGGGAAGTGCTTTTAATGACTTCTCTGCATCTCTTTAGCCCCCCAAAATAAAATCTTAAAAAAAAATGATGTTAATTAAAATATTTCTTGTAAGCCTGGCCTAGTGGCATGAACCTGTAATCCCAGCACTTGGGAGGTAGAGGCAGGAAGTTCTCAAGTTCCAGGCTAGCCTGGACTCGATAGGGAGAGGAGATCTTATCTCCAAAAACCAAAATAAACAAATAAACTGAAAATAGAAACCCAAAGCCAAGTGAAGAAAAATTAAATCTAACTAAAGCAAATCTAACCAAAACAAAACACCCAACAAAAACCCATGCATATAAAAAATGCTAAGAGTATGAGACTATTGAGAGCAAATTTTCCAGATCCAGTCCTTTCACTTTTTCGATATTATCATAGGTTTCCTTTTTTTGAGACAGGCTTATACCCCAGGGTGGATGTGTAACTTATAGTAGCCTCAAACTCCTGATCCTCCTGCCTCTGCCTTCCAGGTGCTGGGATCACAGCTGTGCACCACCACACCTTGGCTCTCTTGCACATTCATAGAGATTTTCCGTGTTTTCTGTAGAAGTAACATATCAATATAAGTTGAGTGATCATATACCTAGGAAAGCTTTTTATTTTTTACTTAAAATATTTGTTAAGAGCATTCAGTCTTTCCATTTTAAAACCTGGCTTAAAGGCCTGGAATGGTGGTACCTACCTTTAATCCCAGCACTTGGAAGACAGAGGCAGAGGAAAGGCAGATTTCTGGTCTACATAGCAAGTTCTAGGCCAGCCAAGGCTACATAGTGAGACCCTATTGCAAAAAAACAACAAACAAAACAAAATCTGGCTTAAGGAAAATTTCGATGTATGTAAAATGTAGCATTGGTAGGCTTTTCTTGAGCCTACAAAAGTGACATGGACATGATATATCAAAGTTGAGAAGACAAGCTGTTGTTATGTGGTTCATAACATCCTTCTCAGCAAAGCAAACTGACAGGGCCTTCTTCATTTGAACCTTAGTTTTATGTTAGGTTAACAATATACATGGCAAATATATGCTGTCATGGAAGCCTAGGGGACTTAGTAAATATATATGGACTGACACACTGTCTTTACAGATGGCGGATATTTCAAAAAAGATACAGTCCCTGGAAGATGAATCAAAATCTCTCAAATCACAAGTAGCTGAAGTAAGTTGAATTAGTCTGATTTGTCTGTTGCTTTCAAAAATCATTTAGGTTTTACTGTTATTTTGATTATTGTAAAATACTACATTAGTATATGGAATATATGGTGTCTTAGATATGTATTGTTCCTTTTTTTTTTTTTGTTTTTTGATACAGGGTCTACTTGTAGCCACAGCTGGCCTGGAATTGCTGTGTAGACCAGGCTTGCCTGATCTCACAGAGATCCACCTGCCTCTACCTCTTGAATGTTTGGGATTAAAGGCGTACACCACCATGCCAAACATATTTTTTTCTGGAGGTGCTTCAAGAAGTTAATTTTTCACTGGATAAGTTTGATCTATGGGTACATACTGAGCACTATGGAAGTTGTGTGATACTTTTTATTAGTAGACAAAAATTCCCTCATAAAGCATCAACTTTAGGATGGGGACAAAGAATAAATAGGTAATATTGGCTGCATAGCTCCTGTTTGTCCAGAGTCATACATGTAGATGAGGCTAGGCCTGGGCCTTCATTCTCAACAGCCTTCGTTTTGCTAAACCATGCTGCCTCTGCTCTTAATATTGGCACGTTTTTGCCTTTCCCTAAATTCTATGTTCTTTGGGGAATGTGTAAAGATGAGCTGTTGTGGGACGTTGTTATAGACTCAGTGTTTTTTGTTTTACTTAGGCCAAAACAACCTTCCGAATATTTGCCATCAATGAAGAACGACTTAAGGGAGCAATAAAAGATGCCTTGAATGAAAATTCTCAACTTCAGGAAAGCCAGAAACAGGTGTGTGTTCTGTAGAGACTCTTCAGATTATGAATATAAAGTATAAATGTTCTGGGAAAACTCACAGCTAACCCATGTCATGTACTGAGTGGGCTTTTCCTGGAGCTCACGCGAGCAGGGCAGTTTCCTATGCTTACCTTGATGTCTTTTTGTAAAGGATGTCAAAGTGTCACTTTTGGCACTGTCTTCTCCCAGGAATGAAGTAAGCTTGGGGCAGTCAGCATTTTGGTAATCACAGTAAACAGCCATTAGTACCAACTCCTTAAGCCAGACTGAAGGAGGGGTATAGAAAATACCAGTGAGGGTTAATGTGTTACCAATTTGGGGCCTACAGGTAGAAGGAATTCTGGGGCCAGATCAAATGAGAATTCAGCTTTTATTCTCTCCAACACATATATAGGCACTAACACAGAAGTGCCTTCCCTCCTGTTCTCCCAATAAAGTCAGAATTTGCTGTGAAAAGGAATCCCTCCTTCCTTTCCTTCTCCCTCCCTTCCTTGTTTTTGCAGTGCTTATTGAGCCCAGGGCTTTGTACATGCTAAGCAAACACTCTGTCCTTGGACTCTACTCCTAGCCCCTTGTCTTTTTTCCTTTTCTTTCTTTGAGTCTCATTAGGTAGCTTAGCATGGCCTCACAGTCACGATCCTCTTGTCTTTTGACTCCCAAGTATTGGGATTTGCAGGCATGATTCGCCGTGTTCAGCTCTTCGATATTTTTCAGTTGTATAAGAATTATTTTTTGTGTTGTTAGGTTTTTGTTCCTGTTTCATTGTTAAGGATACTGAGAATTTTTGGGGAAGTGCTTTCAGTTCCCTGAATTGCCCGGATTCCTTTGTGTCTATTTTATGTTTTGTCTAAAAGTTTTTCTTTTTAGATATCTGGGGATCCATGGATGACTGCTCATTTAATTATGAAGCTGTCCAAATCCATTGGGGAGCTGTGCGTGTATCCTTCGTGGGTTTTTCTGTATTTCGATATGGCTATGGTGTTTCCATATGGCATCTAAAGACTGTTTCCATAGGAGTGTGTCTGCCTCAGTTCCCCCTTGGGAGGTGTCAGCCTATTTTGCCAGCAGTCTTGCAGCTCAGTGAGGTCAGGAGTGCTAGCATCTCACTGTTCAGCAAGTCAGCTCCCACTTAAATGTTCATATTTTCAGCGTGTTACTTCCACCCTCCCAGCTAGTGCAGCTATCCCAGAGTCTCAAGTTCCATATTTCCAAAGAATAACTGTTCTTTTCTTTGTGTGTGTGTGTGTGTATGTGTGTGTAAGATAGAAATAAATTACAGAGAATGAGACTGTGTATTTGTAAGCACTGGAACCCAGGTGACCTTAACTGCTTTTTATAGACTTTTGGCTAGATCTCCTTTTCACTCCAATTGTCCTGTTGTTGGTGTCTTCAAGTTATGCCCCTTACGGGTTGGCCTCTGCTTTCCTGTCCTCTGGCTAGGGTTCTGCTCTCTGCAGTCTGCTGTCTTTTATCACACTCGTGGCTTTTCCTTTCTAGTTTTACCATTTTCTTTTGCTTCACCTCCTCTTTCTTTCTTTCTCTCTCTCTCTCTCTCTCTCTCTCTCCCCTCTCTCTTTCTCTCTTTCTTTCTCTCTCTTCTTTTTAGGTCTATTTCTTTTAAATCTTGTGCTGTTATTTTAGATTTCAGAGAAAGTAGTGGTGAACCCTGTTTTAAATTTGCTATACTATAATCAAAAGTGCCTTCCCTCACTCCTTTCATTATAGACAAGGTCTTACCATGTAGAGCAGGCTAGACTGGAATTCACTGTACAATCCAGACTGGGATTAATAGGCACATGCCACGCTATACCTGGTATAAATCTGCAGAATATCTGTTCCACATTAATAGTATTCATAAGGGTTACCTCTCTTTAGCACAATGATTAAAAGATAAATTTAAAACAAGATATGGTATGTGATATGGGATATAAGGATGGAAAGAAATGACCAGATTTAAGAGATAGCATGTGTCAGAAACCTTGTTTTTGATAAAAAATTTACTTTGTAAATAAGCCAGTTGGACAGTGTTTGTTATTTTACTGTCTTCTATTTTGAAAGTTTTTTGTAAATAGGAACCCTACCTTTGTAATCTCTCTCAATGATACATGGGGCATCTAAACATTGTGCTGACTTCTACTTCGTTGTTACTGTTTTGATTTCAGCTTTTACAGGAAGCTGAAGTAATGAAAGAACAAGTGAGTGAACGGAATAAGCAGAAAGCAGCCTGTGAGGAGTCCAAGGCACAGGTGGAACGAGTGCTAAGGCACAAGGAGGAGCAGACCACGGTAGGCGGCTCTTCGGGTTTACTGACTCACGTAGACATAGTTTCATACTTACCTGAAATTTGAAAACTTTTAGCAGCTTTTATTGCCATTATGCTTTGGTCAGATTTCAAATGCTCCTTGAAGATACATAGATTTGTAACATATATCTTAATATCCAACATGCCCTCTTTTTCTTCCAGTATTTTAGCCTGTTATTTAATAAAGCAAGAAAAAAATGATTTTTTTTACCTTTTCTTGTTATGCTGACATCTGCTTCTGTTGGTAAGAAGTTGGAAAGAGCTGGAGAAATGGATTTATAGTGTATAGGTAGTGATTGAATATTATTTATACCTGCATTAGCTGATATTACAGACTTTTATAGAGATGAAAATTTAAAATAAAGTAATTGAAACTCAGGGTGGAAGGCTCAGTGGAGAAAAGTGCTTGTTGTAACTCAAGTCTGAGGGTCTTGAGTTCAGATCCTCCGAACCCAAGTAAAAACTGTGGGCTGTAGCACAAACGTCTGTAATGTAATGTCATTGCATAGCAGTAGAGAGAGAGAGTCAGAGACAGGATCTCTTGAAGCTCCCGGGCCCAGCTAGCCTGGCTTACCCCAGTGGCAGACTGCCTCCGTGTGGAAACGCAAGGACTAAACCCTAGGGTTGTCCTGTCTCTGACCTCCATAGGTTTGCCATGGCATGCACAGGCCTGCACCCACATGGACAGAGAAGCACACACATACATGTCACACACATAAAATAATTGAAACTTCACTCTGATTGTAAGAATAAAATAATTGATATTACATAGACTGACAAGATGGCTCAACAGGTTCCCAGCACCCACATGGTGGCTCATACCACCTCTAACTTCAGTGCTGGGGGATCTGATGCCCTCTTCTGATCTCTGTGGGTTCCTATATACATGAAGTACTCATACATGCAAAATAAATAAATAAATAAATAAATTAATTAATTAAATAAAGCTGGGTAGTCTACAAGGCCAACAATGGACATTTGTCCAACATATGTTCCATCCTGGGGACAGAAGACTGAGCCCAGGTCATCCTGATGATGGTGATGCATATTGGTCAGTAAAGAGCCTGTTATGGGATCAGTATGCCCCCCCCCAAAAATAAATCTTTAAGAATCGTTGGGAAATGTCTAATATTCCCATTTAAATTCTCTTTTTTAAAATATCAAAAAATTTTTTTGACTTATTTATACTTCTTTTATGTGTATGAATTTTATGCCTGCATGTGTGTAAGTGCACCTGTGTCATACAGTGCCCACAGAAGACAGAAGAGGGCATTGGATCCCCTAGAACTGGAATTACAGATGGTTGTTAGCCACCATGTGGGTGCTGGGATTCAAACCTGGGTCTTCTGCAAGAACAGCCAGGGCTCTTAACCATTGAGCTATCTGTCCAGCCCCCAAATATTTTATTTATTATTTTTATTTTTTAATTTTATGTATATGAATGTATTGCCTGCATGTGTGTAATTGCACCCATATCATGCAATGCCCAAGGAGGTCCAGAGATCCCCTGGAACTGGAGTTACAGACAGTTGTTAGCTGCCATGTGGGTGCTGGGAATTGAACCCTAGTCCTCTGTAAGAGCAGTCAGTGCTCTTAACTGCTGAGCTGTCTCTCCAGACCCTTAAATTGTCTTTTATGATGTGCTTCTCTTTGTCTCAGTTGAACTCTTCAGCTAGTTATATATTTAAATAAGTAAGAATTATGATTTTTATTTATCTTTTTTTTTTTTTTTTTTTTTTTGGTCTTTTTGAGACAGGGTCTCCTTGCAGCCCCAGCTGTCCTGGAACTCACTATGTAGACCAGGCTGGCCTTGAACTCACAGAGATCCGCCTGCCTCTGCCTCCCAGGTGCTGGGACTATAGGCATGTGCCACCACACCCAGCTTTTATATATCTTTTTAAAATTTTTATTTTATTTTTTTATTTTATGTGTATGTGTCTATTGCCTGTATGTAGGTAAGTGCACCGTGTCGTGCAATACCTGCAGAGGACAGAAGAGGCTGTTGGATTCCCTGGGACTGGAGTTACAGACAGTTGTTAGTTGCCATGTGGGTGCTGGGATTTGAACCCGGGTCTTCTGCAAGAACAACCAGTGTTCTTAACTGCTGAGGCATCTTTCCAGTCCCAAATTTTTATATACCTTAAGTCACAGATTTGATACCACACAAAAGTTACACCCATATTTTAATGACCATTTGCAAAAAAATATTTCAGTTTTATTTGTTTGTGTGTGTGTGTGTGTGTGTGTGTGTGTGAATGCCACATGTATGTGGGTACCTGCCAAGGATAGAAGAGGGCATTGGCTCTCCTGGAGCTGGAGTTACAGGAGATTGTGGCCCACCAGACATAAGTGCCGGGAACCAAACTCAGGTCCTCTGGAAGAGCAGCAAGTGCTCTTAGGCACTGAGCCATTTCTCCAGCCCCACTCTTACTTCCGACATGTGAGAAATGTCATGTAAGAAAATATTTCAGGGACTAGAGAAATGGCTCAGTTGGTAAGAACAGTTGCTAAGCACCCAGGTAAAAAGCCGAGCATGTCTGTGTGTGCCTTGTATGCCCAGTATTGCAGCCCAGCAGCAAGGTCTTGGAGCCGAGTTCGTCAGCCAGCCTAGACAAAATGGAAAGTTTCTGATTCAATGAGAGATCTCAAGACAGTATGGTAATAGAGGAAGATACCTGACATCCTCCTCTGCCTTGCTCATGCAAGCACAGCTGCGTGTGCACTTGTATACATTTTACTGCTTTGTGGTCATATAATTTGTTTAGCAAGAATGAACCATTATCAAATACTGTGTTTGATTTAGGAATAACTAGTTTTGGTTTTTATCTCATAGGGCTTAATTGTCAATAAGTGTTAATAGCTTTTAAAAACTATTTACATATTTTTTGTTATTTTTATTTTATGTGAATGACTGTTTTGCCTGCATGTATGGAAGTGCTCCTGTGTTCTTCAATGCCTATGAATGTTAGAAGAGGATCCCTGGTACTGGAGTTACAGATGGTTGTTAGCCGCCATGTGGGTGCTGGGAACTGAACCCTGGTTCTCCGCTAGAACAGCCAGTGCTTTTAACCACTGAGCCATCTCTCCAGCCCCTATTTATATATCTTAATAACAAGTGGAAAAATCAGAGTTCTTCTGGAATTATTTATATGGATTGGTTTTTAAAATGTTTTAAGATTTATTTTTATTATTTTAAGTGTGTGTGTGTGTGTGTTTGTGTTTTACATGCGTGTGCAGGTGCCTGTAGAGGCCAAAGTCAATGAAACGCCACTACAGAGCTGGAGTTATAGGCCGTTGTAAGCTACCCGACCGACTCATGTCTTCTGCAATAGTGGTACTTGCTTTTTACTGCTGAGTCATTTCTCTAGTCCATAGTTTTTAAAATTACATTTACTTATTTCTGTGTAAATGTACGGGGGCATATACATGCGGTGTGGTGTGTGTGTGGAGATCAGAGGACAACTTGTAGGAGTCAGCTCTCTTCTTCTAGTCCCTGATTCCCAGGGACCAAACTCAGGTTTTCAGACTTGGTGGGAAGGCATTTACCCGTTGAGCCACCTCATTGGTCCTGGATTGATTTGTAAAGTACTGTACATTCCCAAATTGTAAAGCATTACAATAAGCGTTACTTTAGCTTACCTTCCACTTTTTTCCCCTTTGCTGAATGTCTAGTCTCTGATTGAACGCTTGCTCAAGATGAAAGATTGGGCTGCTGTGCTTGGAGAAGACATAACAGATGATGGCAATTTGGAATTGGAAATGAAAATTGACTCAGGAAATGGTGCTCACTTAGGTATTAAGTCATGACTCTTTTCCTAATGGTGCCTAGCCCTTCTGTTCCTCTTCATTCCTCATGCCACCTGTTCCTTGTACACTTGTCCTTTGGTTGTCTGTCCGTCTGTCTGAAGCATTGTCCTCTCCCTGCATGCAGTTTTCCTCTAGCTGGGATTCTGCTGTTCTAGTAAGTCTTTCTTCACGTTGCCAGACTTGCAGCCTCTTCATCCTTTGCAGTGTTCAGATCTTCATTACAACAGTTTTTTTGTTTTTTGGTCTTTTTGAGACAAGGTCTCCCTGTAGCCCCAGCTGGCCTGTAATTCACTATGTAGACCAGGCTGGCCTCGAACTCACAGAGATCCACCTGCCTCTGCCTCTTGAGTGCTGGGATTAAAGGCATGCGCAACCATGCCCGGCTCATACAACCAGTTTTAATAACTGGATCATATCATTCTGATATCCATTTTCCCTGCTAATCATATGGATGGGTGACTAATTTTGAAACAACTGTTACACAGATGAGAAATTCATGATGTCTCTTTTGCAGTAGACACATTACAGTACTTTAATCTTGGCTGTCACAAATTGTTACTGCCATTTCTGGTTACAGTGTAGAGTTGGCAAAATATAGGTTCATTTAGCCATTTACTATGTATTCTCAAACTAATTCCTTTGACTATTTTTTTTTCTTTTTTTGTCTTTTTGAGACAGGGTCTCCCTGTAGCCCCAGCTGGTCTGGAACCTTGCTATGTAGACCAGGCTGACCTTGAACTCACAGAGATCCGCCTGCCTCTGCTGCCTCCTGAGAGCTGGAATTAAAGGCATATGCCATCACATCTGGCCCATTAATTTTTTTCAATTTGAAAAAAAAAGTACAGATTAATAAGATATAAAACTAGTATAGGAAGGTGCTGACTGCACCTAGTCTCCTCCAGTGGTAACTCTTCAGACTTCTGTGTACCCGCTTCTGTGTCTCTGACCCATTGCATAATTAGCAGGGTACTTCCCAAGTTGCCTAGCAGGTGCCTGAAACAACAGTTAAGTACTAAATGAACCCTCTAAATACTGTTTTCTCTTCTCCTGTACTCACAGTAAAGTTTAGTTTATAACAGCCACTTGGCTACAAAGTGACCAGTGGATGGATACAGCCTGGGTATTGGACAAACGGTGGGTCACATCTCAGGCAGAAACCAGTAGTCAGCATGAGATTTCCTCGTGCTACCCAGAATGGCATGTAATCTAAAGCTTAGGAGCTGTCTATGGAATTTTATACTTAATTCCAGACTGCCACATAATCACAGAAACTGCTACTAAAGGGAGGACTGTAATAAAGTTCCAGTTGTCTTTTTTTCATTTGTATTTTATCAGGTACAAAAGCTTTTTCTTTAGAATTTGTGCCTAGTATTTCTTAATTTGGGTTGTAAGTCCACTAATATTTTGGATGTTGTGATACTTTAAGAATCCAGAACAAATGTAAGTCTGTGGTCTGTGTTTAGGTGAATGTTAGTTCTTGTTACGACTCTAGTACTTTGGTCGCTTTTAGTGTTTAGCTTCCTGAGAGTAGGCCAGTCTATCTCATACCAAATTATTATTTTTATTATAATTATTTTATTATTTTTTTGAGACAGAGTCTTACTCTAGTTCAAACTGGTCTGTAACTCACTGTGTACCCCAGGCTGGCCAGATCTTCATGGTAGATCCTCCTGTTTCAGCCTCTGGAGCATTGGGATTACAGGTGTGAGGTAACATGCCCAGCTCCAAATTCTTTATTGTAGCAAAAAGAGGGATTATAAGGCTGTAGTTGAGTGAACTAATGTAATCATTTGAATGTCTTAAATAATGCTGGTTTTGTTTTTATTATAGATAAACAGCCAAATGGAACTTTGAAGAAGCTGATATATGCTGCCAAGGTTCGCATTATTATGCAAATATAAAGATAAGGAGGGGTACTGGAGAGATGGCTCTGCAGTTAAGAGCACTAGCTGCTCTTGCAGAGGACCTGGATTCCATTCCCAGCACTCACATGGCAGCTAACAGCTGTACATAACTCCTCTTCTGACCTCTGTGGGCATTGCACCCCGGGTACACTTAAATTAATGCAGGCAGTACACGCATACAAATAAAATAAATAAAATATTAAAAAAATAAAGATAAGGAGGAAGAGCTAACAGCATGTATTAAATCCACTTACTTTAGTCACCATTTTGAAGGTCCATTTTATTATTTCCGTATGTTTATATAACAATTGACTGGAATTTTCTTCATTAATTGCTTTTAATTTTTTCACATTAACTTTGGAAATTCACATGATTTTTGGAATTTTATTTAAAAAGTTCAAGTTCTGCATTCATTTCTTCAGTTAAAGAATATAGTTAGAGGCTAGAGAGATGGCTCAGCAATTAAGAGCACTGACTGTTCTTGCAGAGAACCTGGGTTTGATTCTCAGCACCCACATGGACCATCCTTAACTCCAGTTCCAGGAGAATACGATGCCCTCTTCTTACCTCCATGGGCATTGCATGACATGGTGCATTCACATATATGCAGGCAATATACTCATATACATAAAATTAAAAACAAAAAAGGATATATTTAAAATGTTTAAGCCTGGCATGGTGGTACACACCTTTAATCCCAACACTCAGGAGGCAGAGGTAAAGGCAGAGGCAGGTGGATCTCTGAGATCCAAGGCCAACCTGGTCTACATAGTGATTTCTAGGCCAGCTGGGGCTATAGGGAGACCCTGTCTCAAAAAAGCAAAAGAAAACACACAAAAGTTTACTAAATTTTATTTCATAGTTCTCTCTGTATATTCTTTTTCTTCTGGTCATAAGATATTCTATGAAATAATAATATATTTTATTCTGGCTTATTCCTCCTGCCCTGGTAGTGGTACCCTGATCTTACCTGATGTGTGTGAAGTCTTAAGAGTCCCCGTTTGAAAGTTGTTTTGATCAAAACTTGAAAACTATTAATTGCCTTTTTTCTATCCTTGTTCTGCAAACATAACTATCAAGCATGTTGCCAACTTTCCAGGGTAGAAGCTGCATTGTTGCTTTTACGTCCTGGATGAGGATGACTCATGAAGTGTTAACAGTCTCAGAAAAGTGGGATGGTGTGTAGAGAGGTGTCCTGTGGGGCTTGTGTGTCTCATTTACCTGACTGTTCCTCTTTTTTCTTCTCTCATTCTTTAAAGTTAAATGCTTCTTTAAAAGCCTTAGAAGGAGAAAGAAACCAAATTTACACTCAGTTATCTGAAGTAGATAAAACAAAAGAAGACCTTACAGGTAAAGTTTTTCTAAATGAATATATCTCCTTATAGAGAATGAATTTATTGAATTAATTTTGGGAATGTCTAATTTTCTTGGTTTTATGAATATTTTTTATTTTTCGAGTCAGGGTCTCCCTATAGCCCCAACTGGACTAGAACTCACTATGTGGACCAGGCTGCCTCTGCCTCCCGAGTGCTGGGATTAAAGGTGTGTGCTTTGTTGGTTATTTGTAAAAACAAAAATTAATTTTGAGTTTTGTTACTGGTAAACCATTTCTATTTCTCTTACATTTATGATTAAATAATTCTGAAACTGTTACATGTCTGGTATAATTTTAGATGTTAAAAATAACAGATGGAACCACGCATGGTGGCTCATGCCTTTAATCCTAGCACTCAGGAGGCAGAGGCAAGTGGATCTCTGTGAGTTCGAAGCCAGCCTGATCTACAAAGTGAGTTCTAGGCCAGCTGGGGCTATAGGGAGACCCTGTCTCAAAAACACAAAACAAAATAAAACCAAATTGAAAAATTATGTAAAATTTTTGTCAATTGCAAAACTGATTTTTAGTAGTGGGACCAGTGTGGTTTGCTACTTTAATGTCTATCCACAGTTTATTAACACATATAGGAGTAATGTTAGGCTTGTAGAAATAAAGTTTTTCTTTTTATTGAAAACATTAAAATTTTGCTGATAGTGGTTACATTAAAAAATTCTGTTGTGTTTGGAATTTTTTATTAATAAATAATATCTCATTTTGTTAAGAACTTTATATTTTTATGTCAGAAAAGAATGAATGGAAATATTAAAAATTTCATCACTGGTTAACTGTGAATGTGGGGTTATGGGCAGGTTTTTATGTTATTTTTCCTCATCTATATTTTTAAAAACTTTTAAAATAAATAAAACACTTTAAAAAGATTAAACCACTGGATATGGAGGTTACTAAAAAATTATCATTGCTCTATCAGTAATTGTGGTAGTTGGATTTTTGTTGGATCTTGAAAAAACATTAGTCTAACTTTAAAAAGAAAGCCATTATATACAAAGAATAGCACTGAAAGCCATGGAAGATAACAGAAGGAAACAGGAGCTCTGCCTTTAAGGCAGCTGTTCTCTTAATGTATTTTAATACATTTCTGTGTTTTAATGGAAAGTGTCAGAGCAGCAGGGGATTTGTTCTCTAGTTATCCCATAACTTCATACAATGCTTAAAGAAATTTATTTTTATTTTATGTGTATGAGTGTCTTGCCTGCATATGTGTAAGTACAGTGAAATGCCTGCAGAGGTCAGAAGAGGGTGTTGGATCCCCTGGAACTGGATTTAAGGACAGTTGTTAGCTGTCATATGGGTGCTGGGAATCAAACCTGGGTCCTCTGTAAGAGCAGTCAGTGCTCTTAACCACTGAGTCATCTCTCCAGCTCCTGCTTTGTACAATTCCTTGGCAAGTTTTTATTTTTATTTTTTTCCCCAAAGTAATATTGGAGACCTTGTGTTTGCTTATAGTAGTCCTCCAAATCTAATTTTCCTTTTTCAGTAGGTCATAAAAAAATCCCTACAATTGATTTTCTTTATTCATGAATATTTTTTGAAACCATTTTCCTCTCTCTACCTCTTTTGGTAATCATTTATAGTTTTCTCTTTTTTTGAGGCAGCGTTTCTATGTAGTCTAGGTTATCTTGGACCTCTGATCTTTCTGTCTTGGCTTCCTGTGTGCTGAGGTTTGTATAGGCCTGTAACCACCACACCTGGCCAGCATAGTTCTCTCTTTAAAAAAATTTTTTTTAATCTTATTTTTTTTTGAGTATGAGTGCTTTACCTGCATGCATGTAAGTGTACCATGTGTGTGCAGTGCCCATAGTGGGCAGAAAAGGATGTTGGATCCCTTGGAACTGGAGTTATGACTGGTTGTTAGCCACCATGTAGGTGCTGGGCACCAAGCCTGGGTTCTCTGTAAGAGCAGCCGGTACTCTTAACCACTGAGCCATCTCCCCAACTCCAAAGTCTCTCTTCAAATATGAGGGCTGGTGAGATGGCTCAGTGGGTAAAGGCCCTTACTGCTGAGTTTGATGACCCGAGTTCAACCCCTGGTTGAAGGGAATTAACTGACTTCTGGAAGTTGTCCTCTGACTTCTGCTTGTCCACACATGCATGTATACACATACTCACACACATGCATACACACACACAAATTTAAAAAGTTAAAAAATAAGGGTACATAAATAAAAAATTCTTGTTTTTATAATAAATATGATTCAGTTTTCCAACACTGATTTCTTTGTTAAGTGATTATTCTTGGCATGACTGAAAACATAAATGCACAAAATTTCTTCTGATATAGATGTAAAATTTCTGCAGGAAGATATGCACAATTTCCTGTATACTTTGTCATTTAGTGCTAATGTATTGACCTAAACTCTCTTTTGGTATATATGTTTAATTAATGGGTATTTTAGAATAATTATTTACCATTACATATAATTGCTAAAATTTTCCATGCTTGTTAATATGATTTTGAAACTGCCCTCTTCAGGCACAGTGGATTTTTTCTTGTGTTAGATTGATTCATAGGGTTTGGGAAATACTATCTTAGAAGTGTTCAAAGTTGAGGTTATTATATTAGAAGAAAAATGAGATTTTTATAAAGTGTGATAGAATTCATAATTATTAAGAATTGTTCATTTTCATTTTTGTGTGTATCTGTGCATCAGTATGTCTGTGTCTGTGTTCACACGTGTACTTGTGTGGAGGCCGGAGGTCAGTATTGAGAGTTTTCTTTAGCTGCTGTCCACCTTTTCTCTTTTTTTGAGACAGGGCCTCTCACTAAACTTGGAGCTTGCTCATTTGTCTGGAGTGGCTTCCAGTAAACCTCAAGGAATCTCCTGTTTTGCCCCCCAGCATTGGGATTACAGGCACAGTCTATTGCACCCAGCTTTTTATGGGGTGCTGGGGATTCAAACTCAGTTTCTCATGCTTGTGTGGCAAGCGCTTTACTGACTGAGCCATCTCCCTAGCCTTGATTTTTATTTTATTTTTATAATTTTTAAAATTTTTTGGTCTTTTTGAAACAGGGTCTCCTTGTGGCCCCAGCTGGCCTGAAACTTACTATGTACCAGGATGGCCTTGAACTCACAGAGTTCTGCTTCCCAAGTGCTGGGACTACAGGAGTATGCCACCATGCCTGGCTCCAACCCTCCTTGAAATTTTATCTTTATATGTGATTCTTTAGGTAGTTGAGCAGTTGAAACAAAGCTAAAGCCATTATTCTCCCTAGTTTTAAACTTTTTGACACAGGGTCTCTCATTGACATGGAATATGAGCATTTGTTATCAGCTGGCTTGAATTACAACATATGTAAAAATTCAGCTTAAACAGTAGGGCTGGGTATTGGTTTATGGTACTGATGATTGAATCCAAGGCTTTGTGCATGCTAGGCAAGTGCTCTACCACTCATCTTCATCTGTCAGCCTGAACTAAAGTGTTACCAAGAGGTGAAGCCTTTATTAGCTTATAACAGACATTCATCATATGTAAGTAGGGAATGTTGAACTGAAATATCTTCCTTTAAAACTCTCATCTTTGGGCTGGAGAGATGACTCAGTGGTTAAGAGCACTGGTTGCTCTTGCAGAGAGGACCTGGGTTCAGTACCTAGCACCTACATGTTGGCTAACAACTGTCTGTAACTCCATTTCCAGGGGATCCTTTGCCCTCTTCTGATCTCCACAGGCATTGCACAACATGGGTGCACTTACATACATGCACATGAAACATACACATTTGAAAAAACAAAACAAAACACTCATCTTCATGACCTCTTGAGAACTTCAGTCACTGTCACCTTCCAGATTGAAAATTAGAATCTAGAATTAGAATGGTGAAGGTCTTGGGAATCATAATAATAATATTAAAACTTTTAAAACACTCTGCATAATTCTTCAGTTAAAATAGTGAAAAGTAAGCGGGGTGTGGTGGCGCACGTCTGTAGTCCAGCACTTGGGAGGCAGAGGCAGGCGGATCTCTGCGTGTTCAAGGCCAGCCTCATAGTGAGTTCCAGGACAGCTGGGGCTACAGGGAGACCCTGTCTCAAAAAAAAAAAAAAAAAAAAAAAAATAGTGAAATGTATTTAGACAAAATATTTAGACAGATATTCTGTTATTGTTGGAGAAAACTTAGTTTATTGTTACTATCTTTAATAAATTTTATTTTTATGGAATTCCTCAGTCTTGTTCGTTTATGACCTTTCAAAACTTTCTTTAGAGCACATTAGAAGTCTCCAGACTGAGCAAGCATCTTTGCAGTCAGAAAACACACAGTTTGAAAGTGAGAATCAGAAGCTTCAGCAGAAACTCAAAGTAATGACTGAACTCTATCAAGAAAATGAAATGAAACTGCACAGGTAATGAACATGCTCCATCATGCTGTTGAAGAAAAGCAAAATGTCTTTGAAATGTATGTTACATGTTCACTTCCTATGATTATTGGGAGTTTTCTACTTAAATCTCACCTTTAAGAAAGTTACTTGATTTTCAAACATTTTTTTCTTCACAAAAGAAAATGTAAATGACATTGAAATCTGCAAGTTAATTCACAAAATCCTGTTTAATTTCTGATAGCAAATTACTGCCTTTTACTTACTAATACTGGCAAGATAGGCTGAGGAATCTGAGTGATCTCTCTTGAACTGCTCAATAATTCTTTCTCTAATATATATAGAACTGATTCCTTTCCCCTGTACAAATTGCTCCTGCCCAGTGTTCCTTGTTTCAGTTAGTAAATGATAGTATCATTTGCCTTGACTTTGGGGTAGCTGCTTAAGTCATCCTTTGTTGTTCTCTTTTATCCGAGAGTCATCTATTATTAAATTTTGTCAACTTTCCTAACCTTTAATCTGACCACTTTTTATTCTCTGCCATTATTCTGGTTAGAACCATCATGAGTCAGTAGGTGCCTTATCACAGTAGTCTCATGAGTGATCTTTCTCCTGTTAGCCTCCTGCACTCTCTTTTCTCTGCAGTACACAGAATATCCCTTAAAAAAATTGTGAGTATGTCATTGTCTTGCTTAGTACCCCAGTACCTTTAGATCACCATCAGAATTTAACATGAAGGTTAATCTTAGCCTGCCACCTGTGCCTTCTGATTTCTTCAGCTTACTCAGTTTCTTTTCCCTCTACTTCCCTCTATCCACACCGGCTTTCTTGATGATTTTTAGTATGCTAAGCACACCTCTTTCTTAAGGTCTTTTACGGTTGCTCCCTCTGCCTACAGTGGTGTTCCCCTGTATATTTGCATGGTTCAGTCCTTCGTTTCTTGTGAGTCTAGGCGCTGATGTTGTCTTAGACTCTTCCTCACCCTAACTAAAATCATACCTGTTGCTCTGTATCTTTATTTTGCTTATTTTTCTTCATAGCTCATATTATGCTCTGAGTATTCAGTGTGTCCCCCACCTCACATTAAATCTAAACTCTGAGAGAAATTATTTTTGTCTATATTTCCAGTGCCTAAAACTGTGAGAGGAAAATGACAGATACACAACTGTATAGCTACAGAGAAGATGCTTGGGATGCCAATCTAGAGACTCTAGATTTTCAAAGTAGTAACTATAGCATATAGTTTGTATTATAAAAGACAATAAGCTCTAACAGACTTACATTCCTCTTCAAGGACTTAATTTGCCAATCCTCATTCTTTACACATTCTGTATGCAAACTTAGTCTGTTTGGTAAAATTTGTTTGTAACCATAAAGCCAGTTCTTATAGCTCTCTGTTGGCTTCTTTCATGGGCATTCTGAGAACCATAAAAAAATTGTGTTGTCCAGTGTAAACATTCCCAGTTGAGGATGAACAAACCTACCTCTTTTGTTTCTCATTCCATAAATAGATGTTCTCACACTTAGTGCCACATGTGTGTGAGTGTGTGCATGTGAGTGCAAGTCTTCTGGGAGGACAGAGGTGTGGGATCCCTGGAGCTGCAGATATAGGCAGTTGTGAGTCACCCAATGTGGATGGTGGGAATTGAATTCCAGTCCTATGCAAAAGCAGTAAGTGCTTTTAACTGCTGAGCCATCTCTCCAGCCCAGGGTTTATGCTTTCTATTGATGACTTAGCTATTTAAAGTAGTCCCCAAGCATAGTGCTCAGGTGCTGTCAAGTGTTCTGAGTGTAAGGCTTATGTGGTTTGTGGAGCAAATACGTGTATCAGCAAAACTTTGTTTAGGCATAACTTATTGTCCTATGAGCTATGAGTTTAATGTTGATGAATCTATAGTATATATTAAATGATATCTTTTTTGTTTCTTTTGAGATGATCTTGTGTAGTCTATGTTGGCCTCAAAGTTGACATGCAGTCAAAGATGACCTTGATCTTCTGATCCTCCAGCTTCTACCTCCTAAGTGCTTGAATAACAGGTGTCTGACACCATGGCCAGTTTTAAATAAAGTATCTTTCTTGTGTGTGTGAGTCAGGGTCTTACTTTGTAGCCCTTACTGGATAGCCTGGAATTTGTTATGTAGACCAGGCTGCCTTCAAACACACAGATCTACCTGCCTCTGCTTCCTGAGAGCTGGGATTAAAGGCACATACCACCATACCCAGCTTAAATAAAGTGTATTTAAACAGAACACATGAAGTTGTGTGTTGCTTAGGTAAGTGTTGTGAAGGGAGATTAGCCTCAGGAATAGTGATCCAGTGTTTGCTAATTCATGGTTTGTGATGCATGGAATAGCACAAATAACAAGAGCCTACTCAATATATTCAAAAACTGGTAGAGAATATTAATGTTCCTTAGGACAAGAGTGCTGGGTGGCTTGTTAGACTCACTCACTTCCAGTTTCTCTATAGCATTCATGCTTATCAACATTCCAAGATGGAGACTTTACGTACATCATGGACCTTTGTGTCATTTGGGATGGCTCAGAACATGAAAGAGAAAAAATATCACTAGAGCTGTAGGAAGAGCTGTAGGATAGCCTCAGGGTTTTAGAAGCAAACCTTGGAGTGGGTCATTTGTTCTTTTTTGGGTTTAGAATAAAAGATATTGGGAATAAGTTTTAGATATCAAGGGTTTATTAAAGAACTCTGTATATTGGGGTAATTATGGAATTCTAATGAGTACTATTTAAAATTTCAAAGGTAAAAGGCATTTTGTGTACATTTTCAAAGCGGTAATGAGAAGCTGTGTAGTGTCTTATTAGTGTGCGCACATTGTGATTGAATATTAGTCTGAGTTCCCAAAGTATCATATATTCTGCTCTTGAACTGGTCACTACTCAAGTTCACTACTGAAGTTCAAGAACTGCTGGTTTTTTATAGTGTAATAGAGAAAGCTGATGAAACTATTAAAATGTTAGATTTTTGTTTTGTTTTGTTTTTTTGAGACAGTCTCACTATATAGCCTTAGATGACCTCGAATTTGCTATATAGACCAGGCTAGCGTCCAACTCACAGAGATCTACCTCCTGACTCTGATTAAATCTCTGCTGGGATTAAAGGCATTCACCGTCATGCCCAACAAAATGCTAGATTTTAGCTTTTGCCTATATAGGGTGTAGTTTAGGTTCAGCTATTTTCTAGACAGCTTGATGTTTTCATGACTGATATACTACATTGCCTTCACTTTTCCAAGTTTAATATTAGAAAGAAGGGAAATGTTAAAACCTAGGAGTTTAGTGTGCTGTTTTAAATATATGGTTTCTTTTTACAGTTCAGTTAGTGGGGTTTACTTCACAGTATAATTTCCATTTTTAAGAGGCTCATTCAACCCTGAGCAGAGGGTGCATGGCCCTTACCTCTCAACAGAAAGGCCGTCAGAAAATGTCTGACTGTCCTCAGTCTTGTGCTCTTCCCTACGATCCCCATCGTACTTTCCTGCTTTTCCTAAGGAGATGCCACACCCACTGCTGCTTTCCCTGTTTCCCGTAAGAGAGACCATCTTTTTTCTTTTTTTTTTTTTTTTTTTTTTTTTTTCTGTCTTTTTGAGACAGTGTCTCCCTGTAGTCCCAGCTGTCCTGAACTCACTATGTAGACCAGACTGGCCTTGAACTCACAGAGATCCACCTGCCTCTGCCTCCCAAGTGCTGGGACTAAAGATGTGCACCATCACGCCCAGCCGTACTTTGTTTTTTGGTATGTGTGGTGTATGAGTATTTGTGGGTATACTTGCTCATATGGACTTGTGTAGAGACCAGAGGCTGATGTTGGGATGTCTTCCTCAATTGCTTCTCCATTCCTTTTTTAAAAAGTTAAAAAAAAAGTCAGGCATGGTAGCACACGCCTTTAATCCTAGCCTGGGAAGCAGAGACAGGCAGATCTCAAGGCCAGCCTGCTCTACATAGTGAGTTCCAGGACAGCTGGGGCTACAGAGAGACCCTGTCTCAAAAAGACCAAAAAAAAAAAAAGTTAAAAAAATTTTTTTTGAGACAGAGTCTTCGTCTCAGCTTCCCATTTTTGGCTGGATAGGCTGACCAGCAAGCCCATAGGATCCTTCTGTCTCCGTGCTGGGGTTACAGGCATGCATTGCTGTATCTGGCTTTGACATGAGTGCTGGGGTTCTCATGCTCGAGCAGCAAGGACTTTGCCCACTAACCATCTCCCTAGTCCATAACCTTTATTTTCATATCATACCCGAGTAAAAATTGACCTAGCTTTCAATATTTAGTGTATAGAATATAGAATATTTACTGCTGTGACGCATGCCTGTAATTCAAGTTCTCTGGGGGATAAAGTAGGTAGATCATGAGTTCTAGGCTAGCCTGAGTACATAGTGAGACCCTGTCTTAAAAAGTATTTTTCAACTATGACACTTTGTCACCTCCTGATGTCTTAGCTGTCTTGGTTTGTATAAATACACTCTAATGTCCATAGAGTGATGAAATTGCCTGATGGTGCATTTTGTACAACATCCCTGTTGTTAAGTATTACATGGCTGTATTTGGTTTCTCTGTGCTTCATTTTCATTTTTGTAAAATACAGGTAAGTGCTCACTTTGGCAGCACATATACTAAAATTGGAACGATACAGAGAAGAATAGTATGGCCCCTGCACAAGGATGACACGCAAATTCGTGAAGCATTCCGTATTTTAAAAAAAAAATAAAGATATGTCTGGGCGTGGTGGCACCCGCCTGTAATCCCAGCACTTGGGAGGCAGAGGCAGGCAGATATTTGTGAGTTTGAGGCCAGCCTGGTCTACATAGTGAATTCCAGGACAGCTGGGGCTAGACTCTGCTTCAAAAAGACCAAAAAAAATAAATAAATAAAAATAAAGATAATAATTGACCCTTCTTGTAGAGCTGTTGAGTAGTTAATTAAATACCACATGTAAAAGCCTAAGAACAGCTTGTGTGCTAGAAGTGATGGCTCAATGAGTTACCTATTAGTGAGAGAACTAAGAGTAATAAACAGGACGAGTACTGGTACTAGGGTTATTTACTTTGGCTATTCTATATTTGTAGTTATAAGACCTGGAATCCTAATCCCTGTTTTTATTCACTAATTAAGAAATATGTAGTTGGAGCCAGACATGGTGGCGCACCCCTTTTGTCCCAGCACTTCAGGGAGACCCTGTCTCAAAAAAGACAAAAAAAAGAGGCATATTTGTTCAGTTCTTTTCTAACAGATGTACTGCTTCATTTACAGGAGGCCTTGATAAATAATGTATAGTCATAATAGTTTTTCTTAATGTTTATATTGGGTAAGTTATAATATAGAAAACTCTTGAGACTATAATACCGTAGCACTGTATTGGGCGTAGTACAGTCTTGGTTTTTGAATACTAAGTTTCACATCGTCAGAATTGCAGAGAATTTTTTTTTCCTCGCATATGATGTTTGCAGTGGTGTTACGGAATTTGTTTGTGGGAAGCATCAATTTTAATGCATTTAAAAATTATACATAAAATGATTGTATGTATGATTATATATTTCAAGAAATAAACTACTTTTTGTTTTAAGGAAATTGACAGTAGAAGAAAATTACCGATTAGAGAAAGAGGAAAAACTTTCCAAAGTAGATGAGAAGATCAGTCACGCGACTGAAGAGCTGGAGACCTACAGGTATTAAGTGTGCTTTCTTGTTGAGGTAGGGAGAGCATCTGAAAATGCAGTAGCAGGAAACAGTGTCCAGATTAAATGACTTGTTTTAATTTCATTACTTTTCATTCAGATTTCTTGCTGCTGTACAGTTATAAAATGGAAAACCATTTTCTTTTCAGTTATGTGTGATACTTAAGTCTTATATTTGAATACAGACAATCCTATGTTAATAACAAGAAGTTTATAAATACTTATTGGTGCTGGATGTGGTGGTGTATGCCTGTGATCTCAGCACTTGGGAGGCAGAAGCAGAATGATCAGGAGTCAAGGCCAACCTTGGCTACATAGTACATGTGAAGCCAGCTTGGACTGCTCTCAAAGAGGAAGAAGGAGGAGGAGGAGAGAGATTAATTTCAAGATCTTAACTCTTTTAGGCCGAGTATTGTGGCACATGCCTTTAATCCCAGCACTGGGGAAGAGGGGACAGAGGCAGGTGGATCTCTGTGAGATCGAGTCCAGCTTGGTCTACACAGCGAGTTCCAGGCTAGATGGGGCTACAGGGAGACCTTTTTCAAAAAACAAACACAAACAAAAAAATCTTACCTCTTTTGTTCAAATTGGAAGAATGTATACAATTAATGAATTCAGTAAATGTGCCACAAAAAGAGGAGTGAGCCATATGTAGTATTCTGAATAGGTGTTTGGATCTCGTTTTTGGTTCAGTCCTCAGTGAATCTAAAGAAATAACTGAAAATCTGTAGAAAAAAGAGCCAGGATATAGCAGTATTCTGAATAGTAGTAATGCTTTCATCTTAGGAAGTGTAAGCTTGGTTTTTATTTAAAAGGAAAAAATATTTTGTTAGTCTTATAAAGGTAATAAAATAATATTTTACCTTGTAAAAGTTATTTTCCTAGGAACTGATTAAGATTATAGACATCTGACTTAATCTTTCAGGATTGTGCTTCCTACAAATGAAAATTCAAGGACTAGTCACGGTGGCATATGCTTGTGACGAGGAGCACTTGGGATGAGGAGATAGGAAGATTGTCAATTTGAGGTCAGCCTAGGTTACATAGTGAGCTCAAGGCTAGCATGGGGCTACTTCTTGAAATCCTGTTTTTCTTTTAAAGCTCCAGTATATTGCGTAAAGGCCTTGCATGTCTCTGCCCTAGATTGTTAAGGTTTAATTGAGGTTAAAAATTGGTCAGGAAAAATTGTACTTAAAATTTTTTTAATGCAATAGAATACTTTGAGTGTTTAACTCTTTTGGAGAAGAGTGTGTGTGATCTCATTTCTTTCTTTTTTTTTTTTTTTCCTTTAATTTTTGGTCTTTTTACAGGGTCTTCTTGTAGTGGGACTGGCCTGGAACTCACTACATAGACTAGGCTGGCCTTGAACTCACAGAGATCCACCTGCCTCTGCCTCCTGAGTGCTGGGATTAAAGTCGTGCACCACCATGCCCAGCATTTCTTGTTATATCTTACCACAGTGGAATAATTACTTGTTCTTTATAGAAAGCGAGCCAAAGACCTTGAAGAAGAATTGGAGAGAACTATTCATTCTTATGAAGGGCAGGTATGTGTGTATCTGTGTGTGTATGTAAGTTAAAGCAATTCTGACTCATTAGAATTGATGCAGGAATATAGTTTCTAGTTCTTTTGAGGTGTTGCATGAGGCTGTGGAACATTTCCGGGGACCCAAAGAGTCTGAGATTAATTCTGAAAATTTCTTGCTTCTTTGGGAATGAGGATTAATGAACCTAAATCAGTGTCTGTCACCATTGCAGTCTCACGTCAGGCTAGTTATCTGTTAACTACAAATTCTTGTAGTGGATTATCACACAGAGTTGAAGTTTGGTGGTGTTAAAAAAAATTACATTCAAATTCACTTTTTGTTTTAATAGTGCCGTAGAGATCATATGTACTCATGGAAATATGCTTTCAAAATGTTTCTTATTGACTTCTTCAGAGATGCTTGGAGTAGTTTGAGTTATGGTTTGAGCATTAAATTTTAGTGGTGTGAATGAGTTATTTTTATGTAAGAAAAGTAATTGCTAGTATTTTAATAACCCTTTTTTTTTCCAGATTATTTCCTATGAGAAAAAAGCACATGATAATTGGGTAAGTTTTTAATTCCCTTAAACTCTTTTGTCAAATTCCTTTCAGAAATGTATTACTAATTTTAAGCTAGTTAGAAATACAGATAGTCAACCCCCCCCAAAAAAAAAAACCAACAAAACTTAAGCCAGGAGTGGTGGCGCACACCTTTAATCCCAGCACTTGGGAGGCAGAGGCAGGTGGATCTCTGAGTTCAAGGCCAGCCTGGTCTACATAGTGAGTTCCAGGACAGCTGGGGCTACAGGGAGACCCTGTCTCAAAAAGACCCCCCCCCCCAAAAAAAATACAGATGGTGTTTTAAAAATAGCACTTTTTGGGCTGGAGAGATGGCTCATCAATTAAGAACACTGACTGCTCTTGCAGAGGACCCAGGTTCAATTCCCAGCACCCACATGGTGGCTATGAACCGTCCTTAACTCCA